AGGTCGGTTATGCTCGCGTCAGTAAATCGAATCAATTAACATGCCGGTTAACGAGGCGTCGGACAAGTCAACCGTGGCTGCGTTCATGAAGCGCAAGCCAGGCCACCGGCCCTCCTTATCGGAGAGGGCGCGCGCCATTGCATCGATACACCCGAAAAATGAAAGCGAATCCGGATAAACGAACCCGGCGAAGATCAACGCGGACAGCTCGAGGAATATTTCAGTCATGCGTCACGGAGTTAAGGAGAGGGCGTGCTGGTCGCATTGATTTAGTAGAGGAGAACAGGACGTTGAGAGGGATGGAGAGCGGGCCGAGGCGGGCGGAGGTGGAGGAGGAGGAGGAAAGGGAAGGACACACAGGTAGAGAGAAAGGGAGTCGTAGAATCCCAAAGCCACGTAATCGGAATAGTCGATTCCGTTCCCGGTTGCCTCTCCGCTGTTCCTCCTACCGAATCCGTCCTCCGGTTCCTCCCTTCGCCTCCCAGAAGGCCAGCGTCTCCCTTTTCCGACACCCCCTTGGTCGCGTGGATACGTGGTCGAACCACCGCGAGGATACCGTATAATTATCGGATGCCAGGTAACTCGAACCGGCTCTCGGCCGGTTTTAATTGGCCAATTATCGTGGCGCGAATAGAGGTGGTGCCGCGTCGGTCCAGATAGGCGTGAAACTTTTGGGGTGGCCGACGCACAACGACCGACAACGACAACACAGCGCGACTTTTCTCTCTGACGAGTATCTTTTAGCATCGTTCGTCCTGCCAGGGGCTAGCCAACGCTCGCACGTAGGGAAGATCGAGGCTCGCAGTTTTCGTTTTAACCTGTGTGCACGTCCGCCGATATAGGCGGCCGTGTACGTGTCCGGAACGGGATAGCGTGGTGTGCAAGTATGCGTGTACACGGGAACGAACCGTGGATCGGGATCAGAATCGGGAGCATGAACGGGCGCAAATTGGTCACGGCTGGTCTGTTCGATCTCCGTTTCAAGCTACCCCCCTACGATCCCGTCCTCCTCGCCGTCTCTCGTTCTATCTATACCTATTTACGTCTTTCTCTGGCCACTCGACCCCCGGCATCGCCTCGCCTTTCGCCTATCGATCTGTCCTCCTCTAGCACCCATGCGTCCCGTGCTCTTCCACCTTCGCCCCGACGCCCGTGCCCCTTTCCAAGCTCCTCCTTTTGCCGGTCTAACCATCTATCTATCCAGCTAGCTTGTTCCTCGACTCGTGCATCGTTTCGGAACTATTAGGAATCGCTCGCCTAAACCCACATCGCTTTACCGGGTAGGCTAATCCGCTGGTGCGCTCGCTACTGCTCACCTGCGACCTCGCCACCCCTTCACGAACCTGTCCCATGCTTAACAACCCGCTCTCTCTCTCTGTTCCCTTAACCCGTGATCCATCAAAAAAATCGAACGAGTTTCAGTCTCACGCCTAACAGGATTTCTATACGATGCACGGCTCTCGTCGCGGTGGCCGATTACTCTTTGTGCATCCCTTCGTTTGCCCGAAGGAGGCTCTTCTCGTGGAAAATACATATTCGAACCGAGCAACCCGCGAGCACGTGTGGAAAGAGCGACGCGACGTCCGTCCGGGCGAGCGAGCGCGCGGCTACATTGTCGACGTAAATTTTTAATTAAGCTTTGGTGGCTGGTTGCAAATTGAGCCGTAGCCGGCGAGCCGACATTCAATGCAGTAAATGCACTGTGCATACCGTACGTGTCATTTACGAATTAAATTAATTTGTTAGTTCTTATGCGGTGACCGAGCCGGGGCCAGGCAGAAATAAATTTACGATAATGCTCATTAGCCGAGCGCCGAGCGAAAATTAGCCCCGACGAACTACCACCTACCCCTGGCAAAGCCCTTGCTCTCGCCGTTTTCGATCCCGATATGTCCAAAAACAATTATACCGCATGGTCAAACCTATCAGGGTGGCTCATCTAAAGGCCACTTAAATAACTGCTCTGTTTTTTGTTACGAAAAAGTTGTTTTCCTTCTAATTTCGATATTTAACGAGTTACGTATGATTATTTGGCATTTTATTAATGTTGACAAAATCCGACCATCCCAGCGTCGAAACGGCGAACTTTTGGCAAGAAATTTCATTTTTCCTTAATTACTCCTAAACCGTTGCATCTACGGGAAAATTGTATATAACCTTTCTTGTAGAGGACGACGAGATCTATAATTTCCATGTAAAAATTTTTCGCTAGCATTAATATTTAACGAGTTATTGACGAAAAACGAAAAAACAGTTTTTTGCAAATTACTCGTTAA